AAAAAAAAAAAAAGAAAAGAAAATCCTTTGAAACTATGCTTAAAGTTTCTTCCTGTCCCCTTGTAATCAATCTCTCCTTTAGGCAGCCGCCTATCTTTTTTCTGTCATTATACAATAGTTTCTCTTTTCTGGAATTTTGGAGGGCATGTATGTCTGACTTCTTTCACTCAGCATAATGATTTTGATACTCATCCAGAGAGTTGCATGTATCAGACTTTTATTCCTTTTTATTGCTGAGTAGTGTTCCAGTGTTAGAGATGTACTCTAATTTGTTTATCCATCCTTCTGTCATTGGCTGTTTGGGTTGTTCCCAGTTTTTGGCTAGTGCAGATAAATCTGTTGTGAATTTTCGTGTACAATTCCTTGTGTGGACATGCACTTTCCTTTCTCTTGGGTAAATCTCTAGGAGGAAACTGCCAACTTCTTTTCCAAAGTGGGAACATTTTACGTTTCTCACCATCAGTGTATTAGAGTTCCATTTGCTACACATCCTCTCCAATACTTGGTATGGTCAGTCTTTTTTAATAATAGCTAATGTTGGGGTAATATAGCTAGATATGTACTAATCTGTTAGCTAGTTTGTAGTAATATCTTATTGTGGTTTAATGTCGAGCATCTTTTCATGTGTTTCTTTGTTATTTATATATTTTCTTTTGTAAAGTTTCCAAATCTTTTGCTGATTTTTAAATCTTACTGAGTTGTTAGAGTTACTTGTGCACAGTCATGTATCTTAACAATGAGGTATGTTCTGAGAGATGTGTTGTTCGGTGATTTTGTTGTTGTGTAGTGTGTACTTACATATACCTAGATGGTATAGCCTACTACATATGTAGACTATTTGGTATAACCTATTGCTCCTAGTCTGCAAATCTGTATAACCTGTTACCTTACTGTATACTGAAGGGCACTTGTAACACAATGGTGTTTGTGTACCTAAGCATATTTAGGCATAGAAAAGGTACAGTAAAAATACTGTATAAAAGATAAAAATGATAACCTGTATAGGGCAGCACCATTATAATTTTATGGGGCCATCGTTGCTTATACTGAAAAGTCAAGATGAGGTGCATGACTGTAAATACAAGTCCTTTGTTGGATATGTGCTTTTTTTTTTTGGTAGAGACAGTCTCACTTTATCGCCCTGGGTAGAGTGCCATGGCGTCACAGCAACCTCCAACTCCTGGGCTTAGGTGATTCTCTTGCATTTGCCTCAGCCGCCGGAGTAGCTGTGACTACAGTCACCCACCACAGCTCCTGGCTATTTTTTGTTGCAGTTTAGCCGGGGCTGGGTTTGAACCTGCCACCCTCAGTATATGGGGCGGGTGCCCTACTCACTGAGCCACAGGTGCTGCCCACTAAACTTGTAATTTCTTTTTTTTTTTTTTTTTT